TAAAACATTGTCGACTGTAATGCCGTTCCGTATAAGTCGGACGCACCTAAGCTTGAGATCAGTCTCGCAGTAAGATTCGGCCAAATCTAGTAACTCAATGCCAACATCCGGTGCCACACATACCTCACCCGTGTATAGGTATCGCAGGAACTCCTTATACATGTCATACGAGTATTGAGTCAACTATTGAGAGATAATTAGATTTTATTTTCAATCAATTCTATAATATATGAGTTGAAAGCAATTAATAAATTTATATAAAAATTATTTACTCGTTCAATAAATTCTTCAATATATTAATAGATTTCAAATCATATTAATTGGTATTTATTGGATATATTGACCTCCAGTTCCTTTTTATTTCCTTGAGTCCAATTGGAAAACAATGACCGGAAGTGTTGGCATCGGATGCGAAGTATGTCTTTGTGGACGTGAATAGGCTTTCCCTCGACTATGATCTTGAAGTTACTGGTGTTTGGGTCGTCGAAAGCCTGACGTATTTGAGTGACCAATAGATTGTCGGACACATCACTCAATACAACCATTTTGGACGAAACAGTAGGCTTCGAGAAGATGGCGAATATGTCGTGCAATGAATCATATATTGTCTCTAATCATAAAAATTTTCATTCAAATATCATACAATTATTGATTCATTCAAACAAATGTTTACTCATTGGCTTTAATACATTGCCGTTTGGGGGCTGACATCCACCCCATACATAGCCCACACCATCCACTGTAATAGCGGCCGATATATTGGTCCCCATATTTGCCGCGATATCACGAAATGGACCCAAACTATTGTCTAACTGAATAGGCGTTGATTGGTTGGTGGTGTTATCGGTGCCCAACTGTCCCCTATCGCACAGACCAAACATATAGATTATGCCATCTTTGGATAAAAGCATTGTATGCCTATAACCGCAAACCACACGACAAATGGGTTTGTGATCTAAATGTGTGATCAGCACTGGAGTGGTTTGATTTGTTTGGTGTCCTAAACCCAACTGTCCCTCACCATTACAACCCCTATATATATACAACAATATATCACAATTGAACCATGCTGTATTAGATTATTAACAATACATACCATGAATATACAGCTCCGGTGTCCGACACCGCTATTGAATGATGGCCTCCGCAAGTGATGGACACAACACGACACGACTCCAGAGCGCCCTTCACTCTGATGGGAACGGATTGGGCACTATCGGTGCCATTGCCTACCTGTCCATTGCCATTATAACCCCAGCCATAGACATGTCCCGCGTCTGTGAGGGCCAGTGTGTGGTAATTACCGCACGATATGTCCACCACTTTCTCATTCAATGATACTTTTAAGGGTTCAGCGGAACTGGTGGTCGACCCGATCCCCAACTGTTCAAATAAATCAGATTAATTCTTACAAAAATACAGTTCAGTATATAATATGAGCTGGGGACAATCATAGTAACGTTAGATATTTTGATTAATTCTTTAAAATGCAGTAATATTTTCACCTGATATGCCATAGTACTACTCGTTTAGCTTAAACGTATGTATATTTTATGAATAATTGACTTTTGTATAAAATTAATAATTAGATATAATAAATATAAAAAAGCTAACGTTACTATGATTGTCCCCAGCTCATATGTAATTTGTATGCATTCGGTGTAAGCATTTGAGAGATATAAAGTGATAGAGAATGACAACGCAACTGAACCTGGTTATATGGATTATATAGACCCCACGCATAGACCTGTCCATCGGTGGTGAGGGCGCACAGGTGGTATAGGCCTGCACTCACTTGAATGACCCCCTTATGGCTGAGTGTCTGTAATTGAGTGACAGAAACGGCGCTCACGTTTACACTGAAGACCTCATCCTCTTTGGTCACAACCACTGCTTCTGTCTCTGAGTTCATGTCAAACACGCAAAACATACGGATATTAGCCTTCAATTGGCTGTCGATAGCACAGAAAGCCATCCATCTGTCGATTGACTCCCTTTTGACACAATTGTCTTCAGACCAGAGGTTTGTGTGAATCGTATGACTCACTGAACCATTGGATGCCATTTCGCAAACAAATCGGCAAAATTTTATAATAAAATTGAATATTTATATTTAGACTGCTTTTATTGAAACTGCAATTACAGTTATAACATGAAATGTGCTCAAAGTATGCAAGAGTATTGTGTTACACATTACTTTGTGTTATTAATTGATAATTTATATTAAATGCATACTTTATTATATTGACGTGGCATTGAGTTAATTTGTCAGTAACTATGATACATTATCAAATAATTGAATGTGCCATTATCTCTTATACAGTATAACATATCATAATATTATTATCACATTATGATATACATTTCATGGGAGTAAATGTGTCGCCATATAATCATCAATAAATTTTGATTAAGTAATACAATTTCAAAAGGTATTACAGGCATCAATAAATGACAACATGGAAAGTATTTGGATTTTTAAAAGTAATGGTCATATAAGCTAGGTCACGCGATAATAATTCTATCAAAACTTTAATAACTTTTTTGTTATAAGTTTTAGCCAAAATCGGTACAATGTATATTGTACATCTATTTAATGCACTACTCATCGAATTAAAATAAATTAATGTACAAGGTAAAGTCATGGAAATAACGT